ATGGAGAAAAATTGAGTACTTCAAACTTGTTTAACCTAAACCTGTTTGTGGTAGTGTGTTGGTGTGTTGCTGTCACAATGAAGTACACCCTGTTTCTTCTTTTATGAAAAACGTGCTGTTGATTCTAATAAAAGGAATTATCAAGATAAGTGTCTGAAATATCAATTCACGTTGGAAAGAATTTTTAGCGATGTCATATTTCATTCTTGTGTAGGAATACATACTAGTATTCAAACATTATAAGGGCATACGATACCGAAAAAATATTTCCCGTTGATTTTTCAACAAAATATAAAAAAAAGAAATTTAAATCTACAAGAGGGTGAAATTCAGATTTCGGAAGTGAAAGAACCTACTGTTAATTTTTATCTACTGCTCTTAAAAGAGATAATTAAATATTCCATAAGACAGATTTGTTATTTGAAATTAATTTGCCATGTAAAACTATTCAAACGAGAAAACCAACGACATGACAAACGCACAAAACAACAAATGAAAAAAAAAAACACGACACATTCCTGCATAATCTTGAAATATTCCTACAAATAATTTACCTATGAAAGATTGATAAAAGGAACATGCATATATATTTCCCGTGAAAATTTCACATATGAAATTAACTCGATTATTTCACTCCCCTGACGTCATACAACAATATATCTTGTCATGACGTTATCGATGACGTTACATCAAGACAAATTGTGAATGCGTAGAAATAGATATAGTTCCTTGCATTTTTTTTTACTTCATTTCAATTAAAAAACCCATTGTCAATGTAATAAAAAAGAATACCTACCTAATCAAAGAATTAAAATATAGAAAAATATTCGACTTCTGATCGAACAACCCTGATAATTACCTAAATTAGTGAATTAGTGTGTTATTCGTTCAATTGTTGAATATTTTTCTATATTTAAATTCTTCGGTTAGTTCGTCTATGATTAAGGTTTATGTGGACCCTTTGGCTAAAATGGCTGAGTTTTCACCGCAAAATTTACTCTGAGCACAGACTAACATGTGCATCTGGAAAAGTTTCAAGGCATAGCATGCCCAAGATAAATAAAATGCATTCTATGTTTTAAAAAAATTAAAACTTAACTTGATTTTGCTGTACACTTTTTTTTATACAGAAAGAAAAAATATTTGTTACCTCCTGTCAATTAACATTTTTACATTTCCATTCTTGTCCTGACATTTATATGTATAGGGCTTTTGGAAAACGATGTATAAAAACATCAAATGAACTTTTAGATATCATACACTTTGAAATTGATTGTTTACTTTTCACCATACATGATTTTAAAGAAAATTTGGAAAATCGGTGTTAACAATGCATAGATTTTAGTTTTCAAAACTAAAAAAAGAAATTATTTATATTGTCCCGATCATAAAAAAATTTCTTTCCCAGCCTACCTTAGTAGTGTCACATACTTTAAAAATAAAACAGATGGTTTACTCATCCGTGAAATAAATAATAAACACAAAATAAAATGTTAGATATGAAGGTGTATGTTCATAATCCCAAAGAAACAAAAACACATTTCATGCTGATTTATTTGTTTGACATAATAACAATAATAACACACGGATTCACTAATGTGCAATCAACAGTTTTTTTGTATGGCGTCTTATTTTCAGAGGCCATGCATCGACCCGTTAGGGGTGGATTTGTTTATTGAATTCTAGTATAAATCTAGATGTCACTAGAATCAGAATTCTTTTGCGTTTATAAAGAAATGAAAATAAAGTTTAATTTCAACTTAATAAAAAAAATGAAAAATGTTCTGTCCCTACATGAAAATCCTGAAATCAGGTCATATGTATACCCATGTATGTAGGCATGAGACAAAAACATTTCGGATAATCAAAACTGAAAGAACTTAATATGACATTTTACAAATTTCAATCCTGGCATCTATGATGATTTTATTTACCTTGTATTTTTGAAAAGTTCCATTACAGGTTACATTCGCCGGATAGAGCAACAGTAGCTTCAAAGAAGTTTTTAATTTTTACTATCAAAAAAAGAAGTTTACATTGTTGTCTACCCTTAAACCAAGTATATCTATTATACTATTTTAAAATCTGAAATCATTTTGATACTCCAACATGTTTTGATTAAAAGCTAAGGAAATTATTCTTGCTATTAAATACAAAAAGCACGAAACTTTGTCACCAATTATGTAAATTACAGAGATTTCAGTCTTTAGATTTTTCAAAAGCTTGTTTTAAAAGCAATATATATATTTTACTATCTAGAGGTCACTAAAACTAAGTGAATTGATCAACACTAAGCATAAAATCTGTCATTAAATACATGAAATGATCAACATCGTGCATATATTTAAAGAATGACTGTAATATTTGTTTCTGTCTATGAAGAAATAACATCAAAAATGTGGTGCACACTGAATAACCCGCGTATCGGGTTATTTAAAAGTGTGCATCACATTTTTTAGGTTATTTCGAAAAGACAGAATAAATATTACAGTCATTCCTTATAATTTAATTCTAAATTCCATATTTTAGGAGTAAATCATGAAAAAACGTTGATGACGTGACGGTTACATGACAAAATTATGTCTATGAGCTGATAGACAAAAAACACTCTGCCAATCAGAAGACGTGTTACATCCAAAATTAAGTTATTATAAATTACATGAAATTGATTTACGTCGTGCATAAACTACATTAATTATTCAACACCGTACAAAGAACACAAACTACACGAATTGATCTACAACATGAATAAAAACTGTCATAAACTACACGAACTGATCTACACCGTACATAAAACACAAACTACATGAACTGATCTATACCGTGCATAAAACGCAAACAACATGAATTGATCTACATGAATAAAAACTGTCATAAACTACACAAACTGGTCAACACAGTGCATAAAACAAACTAAATAAATTGATCTACACCGTGCATAAAACACAAACTAAACGAATTGATCAACACCGTACAAAGAACACAAACTACATGAATTGATCTACACCGTGCATAAAACATAAACTATACGAACTGAATAACACCGTGCTGCACATAACGTATTTCTGGAATAAACTCTTTTTAGAAAAAATGATATAGTTCCAACTTATTTATTCTTAAAATGATTAAAATGACAAATACGCTAGTAACTTAATTGATCTAATATCCGTTGTCCGTCCACTCGTCAATTAGACTACCTAGCTCAGTAGCGTAGAGAAAGTTTAGATTATCAAATATAAAAACACAAATGGGTTTTGATTTTTTCATGTAAAGTTTGTCTTCGGCGTCATTGGTAATTTACTCAAATTTCGCTTCTGTCTGTGTCATTGCGTTCGTATTTCTTGGCTAAGCAGTAAACTCTCCACCAAAATAGGTGTGTTTATTTATATATAAATTTCTAACAGTGTTGGGTTAAATTTTCAGACTTATACAGTGTTATATATATATATACTTTTAAAACAGTTTACAACAACACCAAAACATTGATAAACAAAATGCTAAACAAAAGATACAAAATTCAAAAAAAATTTCGGATAACAAATATCCTTCTTCAGTTTAAGCAGCCTGGTGTAAAATGTCACTTGTTATGATGATTTTAAAAAATCGGTGTTTAATTTGTATGATGGTCAATATTTTTGAACATTATCATAGCTAGTGACGCCATTTTACACCGCAGGGATCCGACACCCTCGTAAGAATGATTGTTGACTATTATCTAAATGTTTATATATAGACTCAGGTCGACGTTCAGACTCTAATTAATGTCTGTTCATCAAATCGACGTCCAATGTAAAGTCAGGTTCTGAAATCAGTGTCCAATATTTTTACACTTAAATCGACGTCCAATGTGACGTCATACATTTCCAAAACGACATCCGGTCGATCGCAGCTTTCGCTCATCGATGTCCAAAACAAGTTAACGTACAGTCAGTTGTTGGAAATTATTATTCTTATAGTTGTTCTTTAAGAAATCAAACTCTTAAACGGAAAATAATAAATTATACATTTATAGTAAAATTAAAAAGAATTGTGAAATTGAACCATATTTACTTAAGGAAAATAACATTGAAACCAGGAAAAGCTTTACTAAATTAAGGATAAGTGACGATATTATGGAAATTTAAAGGTTGAGGTACAGAAACATAAAAAAGAGAAGCACGTTTATTTCAACATTGTGCTTTGAATAAAATAGATGATGAAGATCATTTCTTATTTAAATGTAAACAAAATGAAAACCAGAGACTTGAATTCTTAAAAAAAATTTTTAAAATGTATTCAAATATAAATGAGGTGGATAATATGGATAAATTGGTTTTATGTTCGTCATGTCCGTCAGTTATGCGGTATGCTGCTCTATTTAATAAAAAGTCCTAGTTACTGAGGAGAGTGAATTCAACAACTACATGATATGTAATATATAAATTCATGTCTTTTTTTAAATTATTTTTGTGATGTATTATATAATGTGTTATTATGTTAATTTTCATGCATGCCATCATTGGGGTATTATAGTGCATTTTTTTTAAAAAAAACAATGTTTTACAGCTTTTTGAGTTTTATATTCAATTAACAATTTGCATTCGGAAATTGCCTGTATCAAAACAACATTATGACAGTTGTTTTAATGGGGTAAGTTGTGGCGTCATTGCAGATTTCCAAAAAAAAGGACGTTGATTAGAAAAGACAAATATTGAACGTCGATTTGAGAACAGCAATAAAAAGACGACGATTAGAGGGGCATAGAATTGGCCATCGATTTGGAATTGTATGTTATTATGACTTCAGCTGTGGACGTCAATTTGAAGAACGGACGTCGATTAGAGACCGGACATCGGTCTGAGTCTTACATATATTGAAAAAAAAAAAACAGAACAAAATTAAAAAAGAAACAAGGTACAAGCATACCCCTTTACAGTGTATCAGTTTTGAATTAAAGCAGTGCGTTTGTCGATTTATGTTTACCTAAACTATAAAATACTATGACTTAATTTCGGTTGTAGAACAAACTACAGGACAGATATGTTCTTTACAATATTGTCGTAACTCTCCTAGAGATGACTGCGCATGTAGAGGCTGTTGTTGGGGTAAATCGAATTGTCAAACTGGTGGTTGTGAACCACGTTATCCCTTTCCAGGTGCAACCCCGATTTATAGTTGTTTCTGTTATCTATGTCGTAAGTATTATCAGAAAAATCAAATTTTTACATTAACATTTACATTTGGTTGTCTATACTCTGAGAATACAAGGATTATACATTTTCAACAAAGGTAAGGATAAAAAGAAAGTTTGCATAACATAAAAATTAGTGATTTGGTTTTACGAGTGATGGTAAATACTTTACAAACATAATTCCAGCAGTAGCTAAAAACTGGTTATGGCAAAGTATATGTAGCTGGACAATATTTGGAATTCGGAGAAATTTTGTATGCTTTTACAATAGAATGTTGATTAGAAAGTATATGTTATTACTGCTAATGTTATGAAAATATTTGTGAATCAGCGTTTTTTTTTTGTTTTTTTTTTTTTCAATAGAAATTAATAATTCATAATATGTAGCGCGAAAAGGGTGATAATTACAAAATAAATAATGCTGTGATGGTGGTACGCTGCAAAATCTTATTTGTTTTATCTTTTTGTTTTATATAATCAGACACGCGAAGCAATGAATGTGGTTTTTAATTTGATAGATGCTTTTGTGCTTTTTTGTAAATGATTGTTTGTTTTGATATTGTAACACAGTGATGACTGCTGTACCCATATTTTGACTATTTCATTTATTATGTCTGTTTTGTTCACGCATCGTTTGAAAATGCATGTACCAAGTCAGGAATATGACAGTTGTTGTCCATTCGTTTGATGTGTTTTGTTATTGATTTTGCCATGTGATTAGGGATTTTCCGATTGAATTTTCCTCGAAGTTCAGTATTTTTGTGATTTTACTTTCTACTCATATCTAAAACAGAGGCGAAAGATACCAGATGGATATTCAAATTCATGAGTCGATAACAAACTAACAAAGCTACATCTTACAAAGTCTGTCCTTATAATATTGCCGCTCAAGCCGGTGCTAGTGGCCATCTGAAACTTGCAGTGAGGTGAGAGGTTTTTGCTCTGTTTAGGGGCTAACTGTGACTTTGAGATGAAGATCAGTAATAAAAGCGCTATCCCTTTGCTTTTTATGTATTTTTTGTGTCATGGATGGATACCCCATATCCTTGGTTTTTTTTCTGTTATGACAACGCCATGTAAAAAAAAACGATAAACAAACAACAAACAAAAGTACACAAAATATAACAAAAAAACTAAAAATTGACCAACACGAACACCACAAAAAACTGAGGTTGATATCAGGTGCTCATGCGGGGTAAGCAGATCCTCCTCCACATGCGGCACACGCCACAAAATGATGAAGACAGCAAAAAACGAACACTGTGATATCCTCATATCGTTCAATGTTGGTCACATTAGTTAATATTTTTTACATTTTGTTAGTTGATTATTGCTGAAAGTTTTAGACAGTTTTGGAGTTTTGGTTTGTATTTGTTCTATTATAATACCAAGACCAAAATATTTTAAGTCACAATTTTTTTTTTATCAAATTTGTGTTCTTTTCAACTTGCTAGCTATGTTTCGATAAAAATTTCAAAAGTAGCATTATACTATACTTTAAAAAGTAAAATAACAAAAATACTGAACTCCAAGGAAAATTCAAATCGGAAAGTCCCTTATAAAATGGCAAAATCAAAAGCTGAAACACATCAAACGAATCGAAAACAACTGTCATATTCCTGAAATATGGTACAGGCATTTCCTTATATAGAACCTGGTTTTATAGCTAGCTAAACCTCTCACTTGTGTGACAGTCGCATAAAATTCCATTATATTGACAACAATGTGTGAACAAAACAAACAGACATAATAGGTATAAATGTCAAAAATAGGTGTACAGCAATCAACATTGTGTTATAATCTTAATCACTATGAAAACAAACAAATATGTCAACAAAGAAAAGCAAAATGGCGTATAGACATAGCACATAAGCAAAATTGAAAGAGAAGAATACAAAAAATGACCACAGCACAACAACACATTGGCGGGATGCATAAGTACCCAGTCACGCCAAAAGGATATTTCCAAAAATGGACTAAACAGTAAAGGTTAATAATTTAAAAGACAAATAAAAGAACACTTTAACACGTAATTAAGATGATAAACAACGTTAGTACTTAGAATCTTTACTTCAAGACCATCATGTATTATTTGTGAAGTTGGTACGGAATATTTATCAACAAGGTCTTGACAAATATATACGTAACATGGTCATATCTCAAATCAAGAATATAAAAATGTTAAAAACTTTATGACCCAGACAATATTTTCAAGTTTTACCATATGTTCTGTAAGAATAAATCGAGTTAAATACAGACAATATAGTAGAGAAACTATATGATACACTGCATAAACACCATGTCAGGATCAATGGAATAAGAAAAGTATTTATAACGATAAATGCAATTTAACTTTTTCAGCACCAGCATTAGCAGTGTCAGGAGGTAATGGCACTACACAATGAAAAACTACGAAAAGATGGGAGAGATGTCGGTACTGAATTAAAAAGCTATAAAGAACTATCTGTTGTATTTCTTTTGTTATTCTTGTAAATGCAATCATTTGATTATCTAGATTAGCTTCATCTTTATAATTTATAACATTTGATAAACAGCTTCCTTGTAAGTAGTAACCTTCAAAAGTAGAATATTGAAGGAAAGGCAAGACCTTAAATATCTTTAAAAATGTCTCTTTTCAAGAATAATTTAAGAGTATCCATAAAATTCACATAGTTTTGTAGTTGAAAAGTAATTACCTAAAATATCAGCTGAGGAGTTAGGATTCGAATGCACGCATCAGACATAACATTGCGTGTACGAAATAGGTCGCTTACACTCAATGTCAATCATGTGTATGACTTTAAACAAATGCACCATACTATAACTTTTTGAATGTAAGCACATGTTCATCAGTTCTGACACCGATTTTGTATATATAAAATGGGTAAATAGCAATAACTAATGAAATGTAAGATTAACAACAAGTGTTAAAAAAAAGATGCAATTCATAGACACAAGTTAGCGGAATTTCGTAACGTTAATCTGAACGTCTTTTGTAGACGAAACGCGCGTCTGGCGTACTAAATTATCAGCATAGTAAATCTGATGAGGTAATTTTACAACCACAATTATAAAGAACGTGTTTTTCAACAAACAAATGGGGCAATATGCGCAATTGTTTCTCCATAGGCGGTAATGGTAACGTTTTCTTCTGTAGCTCAGTCCATATCGTAAACTTGGATATGTATGATGGCTCGTTTCGAAGCTGAGACATTTTCACATATGTGGTTAAATTTTCGGGGTACGAAGTGTGATTCATTTTTCCGTAAATTAGCATACCCCGAAAGTACTTTCGTGATGCGGCTCTTCCTGGTAAAAAATCCCTTTTTTCACACAATAAATTCTTTGAAAATTTAATACTTTGAATACATTTAATAACTCCATAGTTTTTACACATTTATTCTATGGTCCTCTACTTTCCAAATCAACACAAATGGTTAAGCTCAGTCACTTTTTAAAAATAGAAACATGTCCAATATCACTACACAGAGATTTTTTGTTTACACACACATTTTGTGTTCCTCAATTTGAGGCGCATTAGGGATATTGACCCATATTGAAATCCATAGTTCTGATTTTTCCCAATATTCCTGTGTAATCTTCATGAGTATGACTTTCTGAATAAAACTGTGAGTTTTTGTCCATTTCTGAAAGAAAATAAAGTTGTTTCAGCACTATAATGCAATGATCCTTTTATCCCTATATTCATTAATTTTGAGTACAATGTGTACGTATAATATTGATTTCTTCCAGTATACCTTCACAAGTCGCAATATATATAAAATATCAAATGATAACCTTTAATTACAATATAAAGACCCTGTTAAAGCATTTAATAAAATTTCTTATGTCTAAAAGTGCATTTTGACTGAGAAATTTTGCAAAAATGTAGATTTCATCCAGAAACTCTAAAAAAAATACTTAATAATTTTTGCCACTGGAAATCTGGTGTTTTCTACCTTAAAACCCACTCAAAAATGGTGTGAATGTCATATTTATCATATAATTAAAGCGCAATGTAGTGCAAATTTACAAAACTTGACCTTTCACAAAATCTATTTAAGGTTCCACTAAAGTCAAAATATAGGACACTTCATAAACATCTAAACTTTGCCTGTATTTTTCAACCTATAATGAGTAAAGTCCTAAACTATGAGAACAAATGTTCATTTAAACATACTTAACATATACACACTTTGTAAATTGTAAATAAACTTGAAATTGTTATGTTGTGGCCAAACCGGTTATTGGGGTGAACACTAAATTTTCAAAAAAATCTGGAGGCCTGTGAGACGACTTAATTTGTTTAAAATTGGTATGGAATAATACTGTTATATCTAATGAGTTGCCTCAGGGTTAAAGTCAAAATGTCGAGTCGAAAAGATCAGTAACTAACATAATATCAAGACCATAGCAACAGTTTTCATATCAGCATATTTTCATCATCCTGACTGTAATTTCAATTGCATGAAAACCATAAAAAACAATTTAGAGCTTGCCTAATAAAACAAAATGCTTACCAGTAATTCAGAACTTTTTAAAACCTCTTATTTACCATCTCAGGTTAAACTGGAATGATATGTCTGAAACTAAAATAAGACAAAAAATTTACTAAGGTTGTGTCATCATTTCATTTAAATACAAACTGTATAATTGAGAGGGAAAAATCAAATCCTTGAAAGTTTTATCACAAATAAAGAGATTCTTCTCTCTTGTGGCTTCACAACCTTCATTTTAACCTCTTTTATGAGGAGCAATCAGTAGTAGCTTAATAGTAGAATAGGTGAAGCACTTTGTTTTTAGAAGATTTGACCCTCCCCCTTTTTCACTGAGAAAAGACACTATCTTGTGATTTGTTACTGTGCATTAAAATATATAGCAATTCGTGCTTTTCTTAAAATATGTTTGTCTGTTTAATTGCATGTTTTAGTGACCAGCTGCTAATTAATGGTCAAATTATTGGTGTAAAACAATGTATCACTATCAAATTATATTCGTCCGAAGTGTGTTATTTCCCTTGATTATCAGCTATTCCTGTAGCATGTGTAGACTGGAATGATAATGACATAACAATGTCTTTAGTGTGTCATGTTGGCTTACAATTTAACAATATCAAATCTTTCCAAAAGAAGTTAGTCCCTTTTTCATGTCAATAACATGTGCCAGCGTCTGATGTAAACACAGTTTTTATTGTGCCTAAAAGAAGTGCTCCAGCCCCTTGCCAGTAATACATTTCAAAGGCGAAAATTGTTGCCGATCTTTATAAATAATTTTAATCTAAAACCAGCTGTGATGGTTAGGTATTTATAAAAGACAACTTACCTTCATTTTCACAATTTTCTCTGGTGTACAAGATGCAATCATTCATAAATCAGTCTGACAACTTCAAATATACAGTCTTATAAATTGGGGCAATATGCGCAATTGTTTCTCCATAGGCGGTAATGGTAACGTTTTCTTCTGTAGCTCAGTCCATATCGTAAACTTGGATATGTATGATGGCTTGTTTCGAAGCTGAGACATTTTCACATAAGTGGTTAAATTTTCGGAGTACGAAGTGCGATTCATTTTTCCGTAAATTAGCCTACCCCGAAAATACTTTCGTGATGCGGCTCTTCCTGGTAAAAAAAATCCCTTTTTTCACACAATAAATTCTTTGAAAATTTTATACTTTGAATACATTTAATAACTCCATAGTTTTTACACATTTATTCTATGGTCCTCTACTTTCCAAATCAACACAAATGGTTAAGCTCAGTCACTTGTTAAAAATAAAAAAATGTCCAATATCACTACACAGAGATTTTTTGTTTACACACACATTTTGTGTTCCTCAATTTGAGGCGCATTAGGGATATTGACCCAAATAACATTCCTATGGGAACCAAATGTGCTCCTCTTCTTGTTGATTTGTTCCGTAATTATATGAGGCAAAATTCATACAGGAGCTTCTCCAGACGAATAAAAAGAAGCTATCATCATTCTTTAACTTCTCGTCCCTCTATGCCCTCTCACTAAATAATTCAGTTTTGCAAATACATTAAACGAATCTACCAAATCGAACTTGTAATAGAACAGACAGTTTAGGTTTCCTCATGGCTTATGTCTTGAAATTGACAATGAGGTCACGTTTTTCTCTGACTGTAAATGACGTCTCCACATTAAATCCATTGGATGTTGGATGTGTACTTATTGATATTTATATCATAGATACATGAATTTTTTATTAGTTGCTATTGGCTTTGAACTAGCTGTTAGTAACTGCGAGTACTCTCAGGTTTGTAAATAGTATCTTTTTTGTTGTGGGGGGGGGGGGGGGCGCATAAACCGTCTGCCAAGTCCAGTCTGTGTTACTTGTTGTTTCTTTTTCTAATTTGTATCGATCTGTTGAGTTAAGCCCTTTTTCGACTGATTCTTATAGTTTGTTGTGCTGCAACACTACTGTCCAAGGCTATGAGAAGGGAGGCGCAAACATGTTATCCCTGTCACATTCTATATGTGTCTGTCCAAAGTCAGGAGTGGTTGTCGTTGGTTCATGTCTGATATATTTGTCTTTCGTGAAATGTTTTGTAATAACTGAGTCCTTTCGTTTTCTCAATTGAATTGTTTCATATTATTCATGTTGGGGCCTTTTATAGACGATTATACGCTATGGGTTTTTCTCATTGAAGGTCATACGGTTGCCTTTAACTGCTTACATCCACTTCATTTAAATATCGGTGGATAGTTGTAGATTATATATCTCAATATTCTATAGCTTGCGTCTCTTGACATTTCCTTGTTATTTTGGAATCATCCCTTCGAATGTTTTACGGAAACCACCACGAGTTAGTTGACCGTTATGGAATATCTGTATGACAGATGTACACAGATATGATCCAATTGTCGTAATCTCTTCCTTGATTGTGACATCACCTAATGATAATTATCCTCAAATTTGTTCTTCCCATTAACAACACGAAGGATTCTACACTTGCAGCAGCGTCTGCTTTCCTTACTAAGGCACCTGAGATCATCCTGATTTATGGTGGGGTTCGTTTAGCTGGTTTTCACGTCATGGCGTTGTCAGTTTCCGTTCAACTTTTGAATGTCGCATTGGTACCTCTCGCTTCTATTTCACTCACTACTAACACTACAACCTTTCTTTGAGTATGCCTGCAGATCAATACACAAAGTAAATACAATCAAGAACTAGTAGCTTCATGTAGCTCACATACAGTATAATAAAAATACAAATGATAAATCACGCAAGTATTCTTTGTAGTATGACCAAGTATCTTTTATAAGCAATTACACTTTTTTATTCTGAAAAATTCATAAGACTGATATTATTTTATTTAAAGATTAAAATCCCAATAGGATTTATATTTCTTTACCTTCTCAGCAACAATAAACAACAAATTCATAAAGAAAGTCTTTTTGTTAGAATTTTTAACAAAAACATTTTTTTTACATTCTGAATTGATCAACCAAAGTAAACAATACATGTACATGGCTACTATTTTGAGATCCCTTTTCTTAAGCTCCTAACTAGTTTCGATATTTCTTCATATTAGGCTTTCGAATGTTTAGTTTTTGGGCGTTCCTGACGAAGATAAATCCAGGAAAGCGCGTCGGCTGCAAACAATTTACTAAGGTTTTTCCCTATTTTAATAGTTCGCCGTTGTTGATTGCAACACTTGAAGCACTTTTATTGACTGGCACACGCCCATAAACATTATATCAAAATTAAACAAACTTTCCAATGTGTTTTGTAAAAAACAAAAAAGATAGTCTATAGATTCAAATGCATTTCAAAAGCTATCACTTAAGTGAGGTGGACACGAGAAGTGATCATTCAAAAATAATTTAAAATCTTTGGTAAATCCACCGCTTCCTGGGGATGTCAATACTATAGAACATTCTTCAAATAATCTCAAAGAGTTTATGTTGTTTCTTCGTTTGGAGAACATTGTTTTGTAGATTGATGTCTCAACAATCAATAGGTTGTCCAATTGGTTCTTAATTTGCATCACTACTAATGAACTTTTCTTGTACTCATATGAGGCACATTTTATGCGGAACCTTCAGAAAGACAAAAAAACGATCATGCAAAGTTTTTTTTTTTATTTCACTTTCAAATATATTGATGATGTCCTGTATCTTAATATCCCATTATTCATTGAGTGCTCATATAAACTTAAGATTTTGAATGAGACCGGAAGCTGAATGGTTGTTTCAGATCTTGATGATTTCTTCGATATTAACACAGATCGAAAATCAAACTTGAATCTTTGAAAAACTTAAGGATGCAACTTTGCTATTGTCAACTTTTCGTTTTTGAGCAGTTGCATACTCTTGTCCCCCTACATATGGTGTTTACATATCTCAACTAATACGTTATGCTCGTGCATTTTGACACTTTACGGACTTCATTAACAGGGATGTGCTCCATACGCAAAAACAACCCAAATAACCTTGAGGTTTCAGAGAAGAAGATCATAATGTGGTATTCAATTACATTTTAATGTGAACTGCGTGCAATCTTATTCAATGTTACTTAATACATAATTCCTGGAAAGCTTGATTACACTGGTCCTTTAGTTTAAGAGAAAATGATGAAAATGTGATTTTCAATTGCATGTCAATGCCAACATATCACACAACACATTACAACATTCAATGAGGATCGTTTACCATTAGCAACACGACGGATGCAGCATGATATGCTTACCCTTCCGAAGCACCTGAGGCCACCACTAGTTGCAATCGGTTGTACTTGCATTGTTTTAGATTTAACTGTTGTAACTTGTGCTACTTTATTTGTCTTTAAACGTTTAATCTATTTTTCGTCTTTACAAACCTTATTTTTATTTCAAATTTCACATTCGGTTAAATGTTTAGGGTTAGAGATTTAAAATGTACCGATGGTTTTGAGAGAAGAGACATTTATCGATCCGTTAATCAGGGCATTTTATTTATCAATGGGGTAAGTAGATCCTTTTCCGAATGTGGCACCCGTCGTGTTGATCATGTTATTACAAACCCAGTAATAAGTCTAATGTGGTTGGTCACACTCGGGAAAAAAGGAAGAACATGTCCGTCGTCATCTTTGAAACAGATATCCCATAACAGTCAACGGTGATGGCGTTCGTAAAATTTTCAAAGGGATCATTTCAACTTCACCACTTGGAACTCTTTGCTTAATAGTTTCTTTGTTAGCAGCAACCCTCTATATCATTGTCGTAAAGTTTTGTTCTCTACCGACCCTTATTGTCAATTTCTAGCTGTAAGTCAAGATATGAGGCAGACTTTACTGTATCTGTTGTATCCTTTATTTCAATTTCGATGAGATAGATGCGTTCAACATAGTCACCAAACTTATTATTTAGTAAGAGGACATCATCTATATAGCGGAAAGTGAAGTTAAGAGATAATGCTAGCTTCTTTTATTCTTCCTTTTTATGAAGTATGCCTTGTATGAGTAAAGGAATAACCCAGCAAGTAGAGGGGCACAGTTGGTTCCCATGGGTACTAGTATGTCGATTGTTTGTTGAAAAACACGTCCCCCAAACGTAACAAATATATTTTCATTCAAGAAATCAAGCATCTTGATAATGTCAGTTTCAGAGGATTTTTTATTTGAATCAGAGTGATTTTTTACAAAGTACGATTTATCCCTCCCAAATACAAGATAATTCTATATTTTATATCTACGTTGACCATTCTTTGTTACGAAACAAAGCAAGACAAACGTTTTCAATTGGTCTTTGGGTTTAGAATGGGGAATACTTGTGTAAATTGTCGAAATGTCAAATGTTTTAATACTATTGCAGGAAGAAAAGTCTTAGATTGTATGTACGTTAACCAATCCTTGGATTTTTTTGAAAATTAACTGAAACTAACATTTCCATCGCCAAAAAAAAATGAAATACAAATTGGAAGGGACACTTTTTTTATCCCCTAAATTTTTATCACTTCTTCTTTACTCGTTTCAACATACTTCAAAACAGGAATGCTATTAACTTTAGAGCATTTTTAGAATTTTCTACAAAGATATGAGCCCTCAAAGTTTGACCCCCATTAATCTTAATGGAAGTGTTGTAAAACTTTCTTTGCGTAATAAATATGAAACAAAGTATAACATGATTAGTTTCGATTGATTTAATTGATAAATATGTATTACTAAAGTATACGAAATAAGTCATAACATTAACGGTACCAATTATACTAAACCAGTTGGTAATAATAAGATATGTGATTTGACCCATTGTTTGTTACATATATAAGCAGTGGTTTCTTCTATTTATTCTTTTAAATATCATAGAAAATATTTGAATTTAACCTTTATTTTCTTTCTATGCCATATCGACCATGTTTGTGGACAGATAGATTATCGCAAAATGATTTTCAAATTAAATACTCCTAAGATGATTGTAGCTCAGTTTGGCTTCAAATTGTTCAGTAGTTTCCGTGAAGAAAATTTTTGAAACGTTTTGCAATGTTATCAACGACGTCATAAGTGGTCCAAACAGCAATTACATACAAGGA